TGAAGTCTCGTCCTTGCTCCTGGTCGAATCCACGCACGACCCAGCGTGCTTTGAACTTCTCGATTGTGCCGTCAGCTTTCGTCTTGATGCGGAAGACCCATTTCCTGGTGAGAATGGTCTTGTTCCGTGCCACGCTTGCGGGAACGACCTTCCAGGTGTTGCGTTCCTCTAATGCTTTTAATTCCCTGTCCATGGCTTCACCCCATTTCTCCCTGTGTTCCCCCCCCAGAGCCTGCTGAACCGTCGCAGGCTCTTTAGGGAGCGTGCTGCCTGTGTTCCCGTGGACTGCGGTGACGAGACCAAGGATTTGCAGCCCAGTCTGTGAGTATCGGGGGAGTGTTGTATCCTCTAGATAAGCTGCTTCGTCTCCTGCTTCTGGATCGGGTATGAAATTTGGCCCTATCCTTTCTGCTTCATTTGTGTTGACTGTCGCAGGTGTTACGTAACCGTTGTCGGCGAAGTGATAGAAGACTTCGCCGTTGTTACTGTCGCGAGGATTTTCTTCGTCCATGGGCACGTCGACGGAGCAGTACGGGAGAGGTCCGGCTTCTTCCGATGCGTTGTCGACGTTCTGTTCATCCCAGTCTGCTTCGTCCGCTGCTGAGGCGAAGGCTCGGTCACCACGAAAGCCACCTGTGATGTCCCGATTCCCGTGCAAGTTGGCAAGGTACGTCTGAAAGGTGAGTCGCTCGTAGAAGATCACATCACGTGCTGCTACTGTTTTCTTTGTGTGGACGTCGAAGATTTTCCACGCGTTGTAATTTTTCTCGATGCCGAGGTGGAGTCCCCACTGTGCCCGTTGTGAAAATCTTCCCGCTCGTGCTTCTGGGGGTCTGTACTGTACCATGCATCCGAAAACTTGTAACATTCTTGTGCTGCCCAGCTTCCCTGTCCACACCAGATGCGGTGAGGCGTTGTTCGGGAGTGACGACGACGACAACAAGTTGTGCAGCATGACAGCATGGTCCATTGCTGCAGGCCACTGGTGGTTGGGTAGCCGCATGCCACGTAGCAGTTTGCGCATGCTGTTATGCAGAGTCCTGTTCATTCTTTCTGCTACTCCTTGCTGCTGATGTGCGTAGGGAAGGGAGAGGAGTTGCTTGATCCCTCTTTCCGCCAGGTACTGCTTGAAGCGCTGAGAGGTGTACTCTCCTCCGTCTGACTGGAAGCTTTTCAGTTGTGTTCCTGTTTCCCTTTCTGCTACTGGTAGCCAAGCGGCGAATGCTGCGAGTGCCATGTCGCGGCTGGGTAGGTTGCGATGCCAGACGTATCGAGTGGCGGCGTCGATGAAGGTGATCGTGTATTGTAGGTGACTTGTCCTGGTTCTCGATTGTAGAGGATGTCGCTGTAAACTTTCTCGAGTGGTGCGTATGCAGGTGCGCTTGGGTTGTGGTGAGAGGAAAACGGTCGATGGGGTAAGTCGGCTTCGGGGCAGATGAGGCAAGTCCCTCGTGCACGTTGAAGTTCTCTGCCGTCGAGTAGTAGTAGCGAATCCTTGTCTATAACTCCTGCTCGTATCGTGTTGTTTAACACCGTATTGCTTGGATGTCCTATGCGTGCGTGCCAGATGTCTTCAGGAGCGCGATGTCCGGGTGAGCGTTGGTACGCGTCAGAGTTGGAGTAGAAGTTGGCGACGATGTTTGCGCTTCGGTGGACTTCTCGTTGAGTCGGGTTGAACTGTTGTGCGGGTGTTGGTGGTGTTTCGATGACTGGTGTCGTTGGTCCTGCTACTTCCGATGATGGTTCTGCTGCTGCCGATGATGGTTCTGCTGCTGCCGATGTTGTCTCTGCTGCTGCCAATGTTGTCTCTGCTGCTGTCGTTTGTTGAATCGGTGCTAATGCTCGTGTTCGTTCTGCTTCAGGGATGGTGTGCGAGTACCAGAAACCTCCTGGGCTGAAGTCGGGATCGAGATCCGGAGGATGAGTCCAGTCGGTGAAGTTGACGATGGCGTCGCTGTCTGCAGTGCCCAGGTCGGGGACGGAATCGAGGACGAAGACGTTATTCTTCAACACTGCTTTTCCGATGTAGAGGCCGCCCTTCCCGTGGTATAACTTAAACTCCTGGGTGGTGCTGTCGGCTTCCAAGTGGATGCCTTTCGCCATCAACTGGCTTACACTCAGTAAGTTGTAGCCTAGTCCCTCCGCGATAAGTACCTTTGACATGTGTAATATGACATTTGTTTCTCGTGACTGAAGCTGTACCGCTCCTTGTCGTCGTGTGCGCAGGTTCTGATTGTTGGCGACCGTGATGACTACTTCTCGCTGGAGTCGATGTTCGCGTTGAACGAAGCGCCCGGAGGAGCACATGTGTTGTCCGCAACAATTATCCAAGAACCAAGTGTCTTGGCCAGATGGTTCGCTTTGAGCGATGGCGGCGTACGTCGGATTCGGCTGGAGTGATTCGCGGCGAGGCGTCCTGTTGTCGAGCTCTTCTTCCGGTGAGTAGTGGGGTGGTGACTTGGTTGTGCACGAATCGGTTATCTTCACCATGCAATTGACGATGCTTCTTGTTCCTTGTGCAGGTTGTCCAGTTGAAGTCGTTGAAGCTTGGATTGTGGTCGTCCGACTTGCTTGCGTTGAAGCAACTTGGGAGCTTGAAGGCCGGAGTTGTCGCTGTGGTGTTGTCTGACAAGACGGGCAGTGCGTGCGAGGATGGCCCGAAGTCTTGCAGATGTGGCAGAACGGAGGTACTGTCTTTACTTGTTGTTGACGGTTGTTGTTGCCGTTGTATCGTCGCTGAGTGTGAAACGCAAACTCTGGTGCTAATGCTTTCTTCTTGTGTCTTTCTTCTTGCAGGTCAATGTCTTGCTGCTCAGCATGAATTTCGGCGCAGAGTGCCGCTTCGGAAATCCTCCCGTGTGCTCGTAATATGGCGCGAGTGGAGCGCCAGTGGGGGCCGAGACCGCCGATGACCACCGTGACAAAGGCGTCTTCTGAAATCGACCGCCGCATCGAAGAAGCTTGTCGCGCAGTTCGCGACAGCGGCTGATATAAGCCATGCCTTTCTCGCCTGGTTTCATTTCAATCGTTGTCAACTGCGCCATTAACCTGCTTTGATTTACGTTGTCTGTTGCTTGATACAGGTTCTTCAGGTGGTTGTACGCGAGCTCCGCGGAGTTGCCGTAGCCTCGGTAAGTCGTGATGTTCTGCTGCTGGGTCGGGGTGATGTTCCTCAGCAGTATCGTGTACGCCATCATCGATTGATAAGTATATTGCTGCTTCTCATATTGCGTCCCGTTTGTTGGATATGGCAGGGACCCGTCGAAGAAGCCGAGAATCTGTGCTCCTTCCATCATCAGTTCGAACTCGAACGACCAGGTGAAGAAATCTTTGCCGTCGAAAGGCTTTGTCGTTTGTAGTTTTAAGACATCCGCGAATTGCGATTGAACTTGTAACGCATCCAATGCCCTTTCTTGTCCTGGTGCAGGTTGCAGTTGCGGCATGAAGCTGACGGAGCCACGCTGGGGCTCGTATGGCGCAAAGGTAGGCTGTTGTTGTTGTTGTTGAATCCCGCGTGCGTAGGATGAGCCATCGAGACTCATAGGCGTCACGTTGTTGTTGTTGTTGTTGTTGTTGTTGCTGTTGTTTGATTGCGCAGGTGCTCCTTGCTGGTGCTGCTCGTAGAAGGACATGAAGGAGAAGAACTTTTCCATCATGCTTGGATCGAAGCCTGCGGGCGTTTCCGTAGACCCAGCTGCTGGTCTCGTGGTAGTCCCTTCCTCTGTCTGTAGACCAGAGACAGGAGGTGGAGTAGGAGTAGTGCCTGGAGAGCCGTTGGAGGAGCTCCTCTCCTTCCTTGCAGACATGTCTTCTTGTATTGAGTGTTAAAAAGGAAAACAACTTTAAAACTCTAACTGCTCTCATACCATGTTGGGCTGAAGTGCCCTAGGATCTTTGTAGAGTTTAAGTCTGAGTAGAATTGTTGTAGCGGAAGCGTTTGAATGAAAGTACTTTAACCACCTTGTGCTAGTATGTGAGGGCAAAGTAAGTTGATTTAAACAAGCAAATACAAAGGTTTATATAAGAGTACAAGGAATACGAATAGATAAGTTAAAACCGTTTTGCTGTTGCGATTCGATACAGTGCGACTCGGGCAACTGCTCAATGTCGAGTCAGTTGTGTGTCCTTGCTGTCGCGCTGTATTCGTCAAGTCAAAGGTCGCTGACCTTTGACCTTCTCGTAACCTCCAGGCGGTTACCCTAACCTCTGAGGGTTGACTCGCGATGCTTCGATTCGGACTGCTTCGCTAGTGTCCTGAGTTTCGACACGACAGAGGCGCTTAAGACTTATTATTCCCAACAACAAGAACACAGGCCCCCAGGCTAATCACTGTGCTCCCAAGGCATGCCGCATAACCCAATCCACTCGAGACAGCAACCACACCATTCAGCTAACCTTGGATGGGACCCCAATTGCCTAGAAAACTCTATCCTCACGAATCATTTTGTGAACCATCTGCATCCCTGACCGCAACTCATCCCACGCCCCCCACCCATACTGACCAGAAACCCCTCTCTACCCCATCTATCCCCTCTACAACCCATCAAGTTATCCCACACGTTGCTCAAGTCTCCCCAACCAGGCCTCCCACTGCCAAACCCTCAGCTGAACTAGATGAACTAAATGTACGCCTCTTGCTCCATGGGTACCTCCCTGCACTTCCTCTGCCCGCCCTCCATCCGGCACGCCTTCACCACCTTCCCCGGCTGCCTCTCCACCTCGCACATACACCCCGGCATGGGGTTCACATGTCCTCCAGCTTCGGCTTCTCCCCAGCCTCCCGCTGCCATGGGCGCTCAGATCACGATTAGATGTACGCCTCTTCCTCCATGGGAACCTCCCTACACTTCCTCTACGCCCCCTCCATCCGGCACGCCACAGCCTTGCCTGGCTGCCTCTCCACCTTGCACATGCACCCTGGCATGGGGTTCGCATAGAAGTTCTCCTCCAGCTTCAGGTTCTCCCCGGCCTCCCACTGCCAGGGGCGCTCTGATCCACGATTAGATGTACGCCTCCTCCTCCTGGGGCACCTCCCTGCACTTCCTCTGCCCGCCCTCCATTCGACATGCCTTCACCGCCTTCCCTGGTTGCCTCTCCACCTCGCACATGCACCCCGGCATGGGGTTCGCATAGAAGTTCTCCTCCAGCTTCGGATTCTCCCCAGCCTCCCGCTGGTGAGGCCCCCCCACGCGCCCTTTGTGGTGCTTCCGGATTTCCTTGCGCACCGCGTTCCAGCTCATCTCGCCCGCCTTGAACTGATCTAGCAACCTCACCACCGCCTCCCTGATTGGGGGGGGGAGGGGATACGGGGGAAAGAAGCATCACAAGGGGATTGAATTGAACTGGTCTGTCCAATGGTGAGGGCCCCCACACACGCCTCTTGTGCTGCTTCCGTATCTCCGTGCACACAGCGTTCCAGCTCATCTCACCCGCCTTGAACTGGTCTAGCACCCGCACCACCACCTCTCCAGTAGGGGGGTTAGGCATGACGGTCTTATTAGAGGTTTGGTGCTTGTGCACTGCTTTCCAGCTCATCTCATCTCGCCAGCCTTGAACTGGTCTGGCAGCTGCATCACCTCCTCCCACTCTGTTGCAACTTCCCTATTGTCCTCACCTGTCGGGGATGGTTGTCTTCCTGTGCCCTTCAAACCGCCTGTGGCCCTGCATGGCGCGAGCCATGTTGTCCTCATATGCGTATGCCAACACGTCACTCTCCATCTCCTATCTTCACCCACCCCATCACCCTCTGATGCTACTATTCCCCTCACCTGTCAGGAATGATCGTCTTCCTGTGCCCTTCGAACCGCCGGTGCCCCTGCACAGCTCTCGCCATGTTGCCTTCATACGTGTATGCAAACACGTCACTCTCCACGGCCACTGTGTAGTCCACTGCTGCCAGCCTGTTCTGATACCCTCCCAGCGCTGCCAGCTCCTCTGGGGTGGCGAGAGTGGAGTGCGTGAACGTGTTGGGGTAGTACCGCTTCAGCTCCTGGCGAGGGGTTGAGGAGAAGGACAAGAAGATAGAGAAGGCGCTGGAGGGATTGAAAAGAATGGCAAGAAAACGCAGGGAAGGGAACGGAGTGGCGAGAGTGGAGTGCGTGAACGTGTTGGGGTAGTACCGCTTCAGCTCCTGGCGAGGAAAAAGAGGAGGAGGGGTTGAGCACAGATACAGGTGAGTTAGAAGTAAAAAACAACTTATAGCACGTTGTTAATTCTGTTTTTGAAGGGGTGAGCAGGCATGAAAAGAATCCTGTTCTTCTTCTCACCGTGAGGCCTTTAGAGCCGTAGATGTCCCCAGCAGCAATGTATATCAACGTCTTCTTAGGAAACCCCATGGCGTGCAGAAACAGTGCGGTCTCCTTGGGCGTGAGGGGGCACGCGCCCTCCTTGCGCCTTGCCTCCCCGTCGATGTCCTTCTCCTTCCACCGTGAGTTGTTCAGCCGCATCTCCCTCAGCTCCCCACTCTCCCACCGGCTCAACCCGTGGTCGCACCCTGTGAATGCCAACATGTCCTTCTCGTACCTGCAAGGGAAAAGGAATATGTGGGGAGGGGGATGGGGGGGAGAGGGGAAACGGAATCAGCAAGGGTTGATTCTTCTTGAGAGGCTGCAGGAACAGCACGGTCTCCTTGGGCGTGAAGGGGCACGCGCCCTCCTTGCGCCGTGCCTCTCCGCCGATATCCTTTCGTACCAATGCAGTGCATGCTGTAGGCATGACTCTCAGGAGGATAACCCCAAGCTCCCACCTGAGGTGCAGTGCTCTGTAGCGCTCTAGCTTCCTCAGTCGGGCGACCAGGTTCCCAGCGATACAAAAGAGAGGGTGTATGTGTACCGTAGGGAGCGGTAATTTTCGAGTCGACTCAAAAGTCACCCCAGCGATACGGGAGATGGTGTCTGCGTACCGTAGGGCGCGATAATTTCTCGGCATCAGCCCTGTCAAACCCCAACCCGACCTTACCCTATCTCCTCACCTCAGGTGCAGCGTGATGTAGGGCCGGAGTTTCCTCAAGCGCACAACCAGGTTGCAAGCAACACAGGGAATGCACCAACCAGGCTTGTGTTCTTCACCAGGACAGTGGGTGCTGCAGGCACACACCTCAAGTGCAGCGCGATGTAAGTCCCTAGAAAGAAGTAGTGTTTTCAGACGTCTCAAAACACTACTTCTTTCACGTCACCGGATTTGCGTTCTTCACCAGGCAGTGGGTGCTGCAGGGCAGGCACATACCTCAAGTGCAGCGCGATGTAGGGGCCGAGCTTCCTCAAGCGGGCGATCAGGTTGCCGGCAACGCCCGAGATGGTGTTGGTGTAGCGCAGGGCGCGGTAGTTGGCTCGGCAGCGCAGCCGCTGGATGGACTCGGGCATGCCGTTGTTGGCCAGCCGCGAGTCCGTCAGGGGGAAGCGCATCACCCGGTGCTTCTTCAGACGCAGAAGCAGGTCCTCTCGGTAGTAGGAGAACTGGGGGAAGAGGGGGGGGGGGGGTGGAAATGGGGTATGCAAGGCGAAGTGGGTGAAGAGGAAGCACATCACGCGGTGCTTTTTTCAGTCAGAGGAGACTCGGTAGTAGGAGAAGTGGGAGGGAGTTCGACAAAGGGGGTAGGGGGGTACGATTGTGTGGGGAATGGAGGAGGATAATGGAGAAAGGCTAGCCGGGAGTCTGTCAGAAGGAACCGCATCACCCGATGCTTCTTCAGGCGCAGGAGAAGCGGTAGCAGGAGAACTGGGGGACGAGCGGGAGGAACGGGGAATGAATGACAGGGCGCGACGGCGGACGACGACTCTGTGGGGCAGCTCCTAGGTGTATATATCGATACATATATCCCAGTGGGCACTCACCGGCGACCAGGAGATGGGGAACTTTTCGAGCACACGGCGGTGGGCCACTCTGCAGGGCAGCTTATACATGAATACACACACAACTATATGCAATACTAAAACTTGGGGCGTACCGGCGACCAGGAGATGGGGAACTTTTCGAGCACGCGGCGGTGGGCCACTCTGCGGGGCAGCTCCCTGACCACGCGGATGTCGTCCTTGAGCGTCTCAACAAAGTGCTCCAGGTCGAATATGTCCTCGAACTCGCTGACGTGGCAGACAGGGACGGTGTGAGGGGTGAGGGAGAAGTAGAAGGTTTGGTCAAGGCACAAGAGGGTGATGTCCTTGAGCGTGGCAATCAAGTGGTCCAAGTCGAATATGTCCTCAAACTCGCTGGGGAGGGAAGCGGAAGTGGGAGTGGGAGGAGAGTAATGGTGAGCGAATGTGAAACAGTGAGGGCACTGGAGGAGTCCTCTAGCATGGCCACGAAGTGCTCCAGGTCGAATATGTCCTCCAACTCGCTGAAGAGGAGAGGGGAGCGTAAGTGGGAGTGTGTGGAGAACAAAGTGGTCCACCGAGCATGTGAGGATGCCCCCTGTGCAGGCACAGGACACGCATGCCTGCGGGCGGATCAGACAAAGCTCAACCTCTGGCATTACAAGGATTCTACTGCTCAACCTCAAACGCCCAACAAGGCGTGTACCTGTGCCTGCAAGGGCCTCTGAGCAGCTAATGCGAATACCTGGGGTCAGGCAGACGAGATGAAGGTCTGGTCCAGCTCCAGCACCACTTGAAGGACCACTTGAGTGGATACCTGGGGTCGGACCAGAAGGAGGCGTGGTTCAGCTCGGGCACCACAAGGAACAAGTGGTTGTACACCTGTTCATGCAATGATCTCTGTGCAGCACGTGCACATACCTGGGGTCGGACCAGAAGGAGGTGTGGTCCAGCTCCGGCACCACAAGTGTGGCGTTCATGATGCGAGCCACTGCCACCATGTCGCAGATCTGTGTGTGGGATAGGCATTGGGTACAGTGGGAATAGATAAGAGTAGGAGGGAGCAAGCACGCAGCAAACAGCCAGAACTGAAAAGCGGCTGTCCTCGCGCGTTCTGCCTTCCTCTGCCTCTTTTTAGATTCATGGCACGACAATAGGCCTGACTGGAATGTCCTTATCTATTTTCACGGGAGCTGCATGGAAACATCCTTGTATTATAGGAGCTCTGAGAGATGATTATGCTGGTTCGAAATGAACACTCACCGCAGCTCGCATTTGGTTCAGACCCCCATTCGCCGTCACCAAAAGGTAGCCATTCGTCGCTGACTTGGCGGGGACTGGGAAGGGCGGGAGCAGCAGGGGAACAATTATCGTCTCTCAGGAATTTCCCATCGTCTCTTGAGGGCAATCGCTTTGGTCCCTCATGCACACCACCAATAATAGGGAATCCTACAGCAAGTTCTCTGGCTCGCCACTCATCCCCCATCCGCAACAAACAGCAAGTCACACTCAAGAACGCACGTCACGACGATTCGTACTTGAGCACGCGGCAGAACCAGGAAGCATGCGACCTACCTTTATGCGTCTTGGAGCGTGCGATGCACTGTTCGATGTGCTCCACTGTAGGACTTCTCCACAGAATCTTCTCCGACGTCCGTCGCGGAGCGTGCGACCCAGACGCGTTGAAACCAGACGTCCACACGGCGCCAATCGCGGACGACAGGAGAAGCGAAGACGGGGAGGAAGAGGAGGAGGAGGAGGAAGGAGAGAGGAACGAGGAGGAGAAGGAAGGAGAAGGAAACGAAAAGGAAGCTGACGGAGGTGACGTGAGACGCTCTGTATCAGAATCTGCTACAGTCAGAGTGGAGATGACTGGAGAATCTGCTCTAATTCCGGAACGCGCCTTTTCCCCTCGTACGAAATCGTCCCCTTCCCGTTCGTCCCTCTCCGCTCCTCCCCCACCCGCTCCCACCGCACCAATCACTGCCGAGGCAGCTGCTGCTGCGCCTGCCACAGCTGCTGCGGCCTGAGCCGCTTCGCCTAGAGCCCCGTCCAGCATACTGATTTCGCTGCTTTCGCCAGGCGTTCCAACCGCTTCGCGAAGATTCGCCGCGTTTCGCAACGTCTCAGAACTAGTTCCAGGCGCGCCATGAGAATTCGGAGAGGCTGCAGAAGACGTCAATGCCGTGGAATCTGGTGTGTGCTCGGCTCGCTGATACACGACAACATTGGGGAAAAAGGAAAAGCGGATGAATCAGTCCAGACATTTGATGAACCACGCGACCAACGAGACGACGCCAGGAACGAAGTGAGTGGTTTCACGATGCATTCCGAGCAGTTCAGGACCCGCACAAGAGATTTTCGCTGCGGCTGGTCCCGCATACGCTAAGTTGAACTCCGCATCCACATGTCGACCTAGATGTGATACAACCCATCCCCTCCTTGCACACACACGCACAACGTCTACATACGCATTGAACCATCTGTTAGAAGCCGTAACCCTTACCTGGGCCTGCAGAGCACGGGTTGAATCCCCAAGGCTGTCAGCAGAACCTGGCAAGTCGGATGACTCGGCTGCTTTTCTCCTTTCAAAATAAGCATTTTCAGTGCTGCTTGTACTTGTATCCATGTCTTGTTCGGATAATGACGAGGCGGCGAGTTCAAGTGGTAACGCGGAGGAGGATGAGGGAAGGAGCTTCATCAATCCTCGTGTCTGCAACGACGAGCCCAAAATACCGAATGTAAGAATACGGATTAGACGACGAAGACGACAAAGAAGACGATAATACAAGAGTTTCGGATTCTCGAGCAGTTAATAATGGTCAACGGGTACACGTACGACGTACCTTATGTAAGGAAGGAATCGACTTTAGCGATGCTCCGACCATGACCAGGCCCACCATCAGCAACAGCATCTTCATGCGAAAATGCACCAAGATTCGCCGGAGGTCTCGCCTTCCGAACCATTTTCTAGCCTCTGGTAATGCAGACGCTAAGGCTGTGCGGGTTTTGGAAGATAGCTGCTTCCGCACCTGACGCTTTCCATCAAGAATCTCAGGCTTCTCTAAGCCGGAATTCAATGGGGAGTCCCTAGAATGCTTAGGCAATGCCGTAAATCTCCATGACACCATAGATTCCTGTGCTCTGTCACCACCGGTGCTAATGTTGGCAGTACGAGCAGAGGGAGAGTGTGAATTGACTGCTGGTCCAGCAAGGTCGTGCTGAAAAGGCTGATGAGGGTGAAAATGGTGGCTTGCGCCTTGAAGGTGTGTCAGATTCGCTGGTTGCTCGCTGAGAATGGGTCGATCATTTTCGCCCAAGGTTTCGAAGACCGGCCTTTGGCGTCTCGATGCTGCGACTAGAGGGCTTCTCGAGTGTTGCAGCGGACTTGGCAAATCGCGAGTTTTCTGGTTGCTGCTATGAGTACGCTCCTGTAACACCTCTACGAAGGTACTGTCTGCTTCTTGTCCTCTTGGTGTTCTGGGTTCCGTTGCGAGAGGAATAGCCATCTCGACGCTCATCAAAACTACTTTAGATAAGGACCTTACCAATGGCGCATAGACGAATAACAACGGAAACCCCACCAACTCTTGCTCTGCGTGACAGATTAGCGAACTATCTCGACTATGTCCATCACATCGTCCCTGAACAACACTGCAAAGCTAACGATAACTGGAGAGGCAACGTAAAGTAGGATGACTACCCACGTGTCAGCTCAGCACACGCGACGAGAGTGTTAGAGGCAGTTAGTGGAGCTGTGTGCCAGCGTGGAGGTAGCCATCAGGGACCAGTTGCTGTTTTAAAGGAGACACGGACGCTATGAATGCTCAGTGATGCTCTGCTTCTGATGTTGCTCGAAAGCGTGGGAGACACAGCAGGATGAAGAGATCACATCACATGGCATGCTACCTTCGACTACATTGGTTCTGGTGCTGAGCTGACCTAGGTGTTTGGTCACTGGGAGTACATACAAAAAGGATTTGTTCGGATGCAGTCAAAACTTATATGGTAAAAAGTGCAAGATTGAGATTCACGACCACGATATACCGAAGCTTAACACTCTGGAACCATCGGAACCCTTGTCCAACCAGTCAAAACCCCGAATTCGAGAGCCAAAGTCCAAGTTTGTACCCAAAACTACACGTCTTGATAAAGCCGAGTGTTCGTGGACTGTGAAACCTGGACGCAAGAACAAACCGAGGTTTCAAGGAAAGCAGGAAGCCGAATGGCGGGAATGGGGGAGCCGCTCCAGGCAGGTGCTTGCGGTTCGATGCGGTCCCGCGCCGCGACAGGCTCTGCCTTCCTTGCGTTCCTCACGTCGCTGTGGCTGCTCCAAGCAGATTGGCAAGCTGGAGGTTCAAGGCTGACCGTCAAGCCCAGTGTTCCGTCTGACATTCGTTAATGCAGAAAACCGATGCACACACACTCTGTAATGAGTTGTAAAATAGAGTGCGCAGGTAAACGAATAACGAAGCTGTGACTGAATCAAGTGCGAATACAATGAATGCACAGACTAATGTAGGACTACTCTAGCTAGGAGGAAACCTCGGACGAGCGAGGTTGGGTGCAGGTTTGGCAATGGGAAAGCCGAAGGCGACGTGAGTAGCCTCGGCAGCGTTGAAATCGGCCGAACGTGCGAACTCCGAAAATCAGGTTGTACGCGAAGCAGTCAACCCCGATAAGGAATTCGGGAAAATTCCTTACACCACCCCCCCCCCCCCCTTAAGAAAGGTAGTCAATGGCCGAAACACGCCGTCGCGCCAGACAATCACCAACAAGTGTCGAGGCGTCCATTGAAGCGGATGGCACCCACGTGTCGTCCTCACTGGTGCGGTCGGTCCAGCGAATTAAGAAATCCACGTGGCGTCCAGCGGCGTCAAGGCGGATTCGATGAGCGAGAATCTTGGAAGGGTCAAGTGTTGGCTCCGGGACGGGGCGAGCTGTCGGGGCCGCTTGTTGACGTGCGATGTCGGTCGTGGTAGGCACGAACTTCCGAAGAAGGCTGATGTGGAACGCGTCATGTATACGCCAATCGTCGGGTAACAACAGCTTCGCGGTGACAGGTGTCACCATCTTGAGGATTTTGAACGGTCCGCAAAATCGTGACCGAAGTTTCGCAGGGCCGGGCAGGTTCAGGTTTTTCGTGTCGAAGAGGACTAGTTGCCCAGTAGTCAAGACGAGTTCCCGGCGAAGAAGGTTGGTGTATTTGCGGGAACTAATATTCGCTTTGCGAATTGCGTCGGCGGCTTTTTCGCGGACTTCCTGGAGTTCCGTCACGAAAGTCTGGGAACGCGGGACCGGATTGTCGAGTGCAGTTGTCGTCGGAACCGCCGGGTCCATCCCATAATTCAGGAAAAATGGGGAGTCATTAGTCGTGCTGGATGGTGCGTTGTTGAAAGCGAATTCCGGCATTGCGAGCGAGTCTTCCCAGCGGGCAGGATCGGGGCAGTTTGTCCTGATTAACTGCTCCATGGTCTGGTTGGTCCGCTCTGTTTGACCGTCGGTCTGCGGGTGGTAAGCCGATGAGAACTCTAGCTTCGTGCCGTATTGCGCCCACGTCTCCTGTGAAATAAAGAACGAGAATGAAAAGACTATGAACGAAGTGAGTACAAATAGGAAACCCTAATTGGGTTGTACCCCCTATGGGATACCCCACTATAGCCTACACAAATAAGTAAGCCATATGTTCTGACACACCCCCATAGGCAAAGTGGGGGAGAACAAGGGGTCACAAGACCAGTCAAACAAGCAAAGCAAAGCTCAGGGTGGATCACAAAGTCACCACACATTCCGAGCACAAGTTCAAAGGCCACAAGGCCAGTTCACATGCAAGATCATATATAGAGATATACAAGAGTCAAGTAAGCAAGAGCAAGAGTGTATATAGGTGAAGGTACAAGCAAGGTCAAGAAGTGAGTAAGTGAGGCAAGACAGGCACAAGACCCAGCTGCGTGCAACAACGCTGATGATCACAAGGCGCAAGTGCCTTGGTGAAGACATCAGCAGTGTTGGCCTCAGAGGCCACGTACGCAAGTCGCAACTGTCCACGCTGCTGTAGCTCACGAGCAAGAAAGTAGCGGAGAGCAATGTGCTTTGTCCTGTGCTCCAGTCGCTGCTCTCGACACAAGGCCAGCATGGCCTTGTTGTCTACGTACATGACTGGAGGAGAACGAGGCGGCTCTCCAAGGTCGGTCAGCAGGTAGGTGAGCCAGCGAAGCTCCTGAGCAGCCATAGCCCCGGCGTAGATCTCAGCCTCACAACTGGAGCCGAGAACAGAAGACGAGCGGGTAGCCCGCCACGAAACTGTCAGAACATATATGTAGCTTATGCTATTCTGTAGGCTACAGTGGGGTATACTATAGGGGGTACAACCCAGTTAGGGTTTTGCTATTTGTACTCACTTCACTCATAGTTCATTCATTCTCGTTCTATTTTCCACATGGTATCGAGCAGGCTCCCCCGTGGGAACTGTGCTTAGGGCCCACCACTTTTAAACTTTTTTTCTGCCCGGAGCGCACTCCGGGCCCTCGCTCTCACTCTTTCGGCCTGCCCTGCGGCCCCCTAGCCGCCCGCGCGCGCCCGTTCCGGCCCCTAGCCGCTCGCGCGCCGCCCGTTCAGGCCCCTAGCCGCCCGCGCGCCGCCCGTCCCGGCCCCTAGCCGCTCGCGCGCCGCTCGTTCAGGCCCCTAGCCGCGCGCGCGCCGCTTGTCCCGGCCCCTAGCCACCCGCGCGCGCCCGTCCCGGCCCCAAGCCGCCCTGTGCCGCCCGCCCCGGCCGCGCTCTCCTGTCTCGGCCCCTCGGCGCCAGGACGCCGCCCGTCCTGGCCCCTCACCCGTCCCGGCCTCACACCGCCCGTGCGCCGCCCGTCCCTGCTGCACGCCGCCGTCCCGACCCCCCCCACGCCGCCCGTTAGCCGCCGTGCAGCCTGAGCCGCCCGAGCTGCCTCCCCCCCCCCCTTTTCCCGTCGCCCGTCGCGGCTCCTTCGGGGGCCGCAAGCGGCCACCTCAGGTCGCCTCGACAGGCGACGGGAGAGGCCAGTTGAGGGGTGGCAGGTGTGTGGTCTCCCCTGCTTCTCCTCCTCCTTCGTCTCGAGCCGCCCTGCAGCCGAGCCGCCTCGCCGCCGAGCCGCTCTACACCCGAGCCTCCCAGCAGCCGAGCCGCCCTGCAGCCGAGCCGCTCTACACCCGAGCCTCCCAGCAGCCGAGCCGCCCTACAGCCGCGCCGCCGGGTCGCCGAGCTGCCGAGCTGCAGTTGCTGCCGAGCCGCTCTGCCGCCGAGCCGCCCGAGTCGCACGAGCCGCAGAGCCGCCGTGCTGCCGAGCCGCTGAGTCGCCAAGCCTACTCTACCCACCACTGATGCAGCCCCATCGACGTCTGCGTGAGTCCCTCACGCCCCAGCAGCTGCGTGAGTGGTACGCTGGTTGGGGCTGTAGGGGTGGTGGCGCTACTACTGCTACCACTCCTGCTGCTTCTACTACTGGTGGCGGCCAGATGCAGCTCCCGCGACCCCCCCGCGCGTCTCTCACGCCTCAGCAGCTTCGTGAGTGGTACGCTCAGAGTAGAGGGTCTCTCAGTTCTGTTCGCTACTCTTACGTGATTCTCACTGGTGCTCGGACTGGTCAGCCTTGTGGGACACCTGGTCATACACAGTCCCGCTGCTTCGCCCGTTTGAGCGACGCCTGGCGTACCGTGTTTGGCGACGAGGCTGAGCTCCCC